GTGGGGATTTACGGTGCGTGGCTGGGGGGAGGGCGGAACTGTGATGGGGATGGGGAGGTGAAGAGGGTTTGGGGGGTAAGATGTTAAATTTGGTTTTAGTTGTGCTGAATTTGAGGCACTGTCCAAATGGAAAAGTCCAGGAGGCTTAGGGAATGATTTTGCCTAAAGGTCCAAGTTTGAGTTCTTGGTGTAGGTGCGATGCGGAAGCTGCAAGTAGCATGAGGATTCTGGAGGAAAATGGTAACAAGTGGGTACAGGGGCTTCCCAGTATCTGGATTTTAGGGAGCGTTCATTGTTAGTAAAACCCTAGGGAGAAGCGGAGATGGTGAAGGAGGCAGAGAACTAGTAAAGCAGAGGTTTTTCGTGTCCAGCTGTCCTTTGATAGCCCCACCTAGTTGGCTACTGAGTGGATCCTCAGAAATAATCCAGTGTTGGAGTAAGTTTCATCACCTTGTGTTTGTACTTTCTGCCTCTTCCCGTCTGCGATCACTTCATTATAATTTGATCATGTCATTATTATTCTCTGAAGTAAATCACTGGGCTCCCTTATCTTTTCCTCTACCTACCCCCTTCCCTCCAAATGCAACAGCTGTGCAGAATCGGGACGCTGCCTGGTACCAGCTGCTGGTGGCCCCACTCAGTGAGGACCAGAGGAGAACGCTGCAGGAGGTGTTCACCCTGGCAGAGCACCGGAGGACGGTGGCAGGTCAGCCAGAGTGGTTCTCGGATTAGAGTACGTGTGTCAGAGTGCCAAAGCAACCCCATTCAATAAACCCGGGGCACCCACATACTGTGTTTTTAATTGTTAGACGCCACCCTTTCAAGATAATAAGAAGTTATTATTTTTTCCATCTTTTTAATCACTCATGATACCTTAGCCCTAGGAAACAAGGTGGGTTACTATGTATCCGTTAGTGGTAGTGTCATTCCCATGTTCGTCCTGTTTTGGAGCCAAAGGTAAGACATAAGGGTTGGGATGAGTCTTGCTGAGGGAGAGTGAGTCATTCCTCCTAAACATCTTACGCGCAGATGACCAAGGCACTTTATGAGCTCGGGCAAGGAGCTGGCATTCCTGGAAATGAAGGACTCTCCGTTTCTATTTGTTGGGCTTTACATGGTGGTGATTCTTGTTGATTTTTAGTTTTTGAGCCGGAGACATTATTTTATGCCATCATTATTATGGTCACTCCTAGGAAATCAGTGGAAGAGATTTTGTAATTACAAAGATATTTTTGTGGGAAACATCATAGCATAGGCATCTAGAATTGAGAACCCAGGCTTTCTTCGCTGACTTGGGTTTTCAGTCCCGCACAGATTCTCTTCCTGGTAGGAGAGGCCTAGGCGTCTTTCCTGGAGCTCATGGAACTCAACTTTGAGGCTTGTTTTCATTTTGCTCATTGTTAGCAAACAGTTTTTCCATGATGGTGAACATAATTACTTACTGCCCTCAGGAGGGCAGGATCATTAATACCATGAGTGACATTTCTTTAATTCCAGCTTCGCACCTTAAATGCTTTTCTTTCTCCCCTCTCTCTTGGCAAATGCTAGAGGCAAAGAAGAAGATTGAACAACAGGGAGGCTTCACCTTTGAAAATAAAGGAGTCCTCTCTGCTTTTAACTTTGGGACTATGCCCAGCAACAACTGAAGATGGGACATCAACTGACCAAGACCAAGTGTCATCGGGATATTTCACTTCACCAGGGGAACGTGGGGTCCAGGGAGGAAGGGTTGGGAGCTGCTGTTTGGCACCTTCCTGCTGTGCCAGTTACTGCCTGGCATAGGGCGGTATTTTTATCCACTCTCTCCTTTGCCCTTTCTCACCCTGAAATATGTATTTTAAGCAGCTACTGTAATGTATGAAATTAAAGGAAAACAAAATCATTGGACTGTAAAGGACAAATCATACGCTCCAAAGGATGAATGACCAAGGTGGTGTCGGAGGATTGGATCAGATGCACGTCTCAGGTTTTTGCAGAATCAGTGGATTGATGCGGATAACAGTGCCTTCTGTTGTACATGAATTATCTGACAACATTTTTTTTGGAGTGCATTGCGGTTTTTTTTAAAGCATAAAACATATTTCTAGATATAATGTAAACCTTGGCGATTGTTGACTTATTCTGCATTTTACTGTGTGAATTTACTGTTAGGCAGTTAGCTCCAAGTCACTCTGGTTTCAAAAACGTCACTGCTCCCCTTGCTCACCCGGCTGCTGGGGCTTCAGGGGCTGTAACATATGCGCTGGCTCTGGGTTTTCGTAAGGAGTTCTGTGGCTTTTCTGAGTATTGTCTTATTCCCTGTCCCATCTTGTTTTTCAGCTCTGAAAGGGTGGTTATTTTTTTTTTTCTTTTTTAAAAAAATATATCTCTACCGATCTCAGAGAGAGGAAGGGAGAGGGAGAGAGAGATAGAAACATCAATGATGAGAGAGTCATTGATCAGCTGCCTCCTGCACGCCCCCGACTGGGGATCTAGCCCACAACCCGGGCATGTGTCCTGAGCGGGAATCGAACCCCGATCTCCTGGATCCTAGGTCCATGCTCAACCGCTGAGCCACGCCTGGCCAGCAGAAAGGGCGGTATTCCTTTCGGAGGCAGCAAATATGAGTATCAATTTTATTTATAACCTGATAAGTTCAGGACTCAAAAATTTCTTGGCAGCAAGTGTCAGGCACTCTTGAGTCACTGGAATTAGTAAGTCCAAGTATATTCTGAATCTTGTGCTTAGTTATGCAGTGAATTGATAATTATTCTAAAGCACATTGAACCAAGGGGAAAGGTACTAATGAGCACGCTGTCTTTCCGGATGGGGACTTGCATTTTAATAACATCATTCTAGCTGTGTTGGACCCCTGTCCAAAGCAGTTTGTAACAATGTTTTTTTAATCTAGGAAGAAAGAGCCCAATCTAACTTGTTGCTTCCTCACACATCAGAATTTTCTCTTGCCTGATTCATTCTAGTCTTTATCACAGCTCAGTGTGGCTTCTTATTTTTTTCAAGGGTCGGGGCTATTGGTCGGCTGCACTCGTCGGTAGTAATGATGTCAGCCCGTAGACAGTATTGCAGATGGAAATGACAGCTGGTTTTCTGAGCTGACTCAAGACCGGCACACGGGTCATGGTGTTTTCATTCAGTGAAGTGGAAACGTGTCTTCAGAACTTCCTGTGTTACTCTGTGTGATACAGTCCGTTTTTGTGAGAAGTCCGCAGCTTATATTTCCCATCGGTGACCGGAGGAATTTTCTCCAGGTGCTTCCTATTGTACCGTCTCTTATGAACTTTTTAGAATTTTGGGTTATTAAAGTAGTTTTTACAGAAGCAGCCTAAGAAGCCATGAGTTTCGAGTTAAATGATCCCTTGCTTTCCTCGGTCCCTCTCTTCCCAAGGTATTGATGTCACGTCGAATGTGCCAACTGGTGGCTGGAAGAGGAAGATGGCACTGGGGGAAAGTTGAGCTATCTTAAGCTTTGAAACTCTTTTTATTCCTCCCATGTCCCGAATCATTTAATTTTAACGTAAATAATATGCCTTCACACTGGATTGTCAAAGGCATGTGATTTCATTTTTGTGATGTATCGTCTCCTGCAATATGAAAGGGAAATAACTGTCAATGTGTATCAACCCATCTTGTTTTTGAAGCCAGGGTAGTTGTATAATTTTGTTACCAGCAGTGCTGACCTGAATGTGACCTGGTTATCTTGGCCATGCAGGAACTTGTATGAATGTACTGTAAAGTAAAATGCGGACTGATTCCCAGGACCCTGAACTTTCCTGTGTGTAATGTTTTCTGAAATGGGGAGTTTTGCTGAAATGTGGCAGGTGATGAAAAACCCACTAGTGTTTTCCTGACTTCTGGGGACCTGAAGCAAGGTGGCTTTTGGGCTGGGAGGGTAACCAGGACCCATCGGGAGCAGCTGAAGAGTGGGAGCGAGAGCCCGTCTCATAAACCGGGATGCTGACACGAGTGTGACAGAAGCTCTGGAAAAGCAAAGGTCCCGTCCACATCAGGACCGGGAGGGAAAGGAGAAGGTGCCCAAACGGGCCATTTCTAATGGGCTGCCATCAAATTAGGAGCCCTCACAACTGAGTGGAATGGGCAGTGCTGGCCTTTTGATGCTGAAACCTTACCTATCATGGCAGTAAGCTCCTCCCCACTTACAATTTCTATTAAGACCACATGGAACCAGTAAATTGTTAATCAGGGAAAATTCCTAAGATAGGAAACATTTATTTTAAGTTATATCACTTAACTAATATAGTGAATTACAGTCCCGTTTTCTGTTCAGCAGTTGAAACTGAAAACTAATAAATCTATGGAGGAAATCCAGGGAAACTTGGCTGTGTGATCAGAGACCGCCAGAGTGTGTGTGTGTGTGTGTGTGTGTGTGCGCGCGCGTGCGTGTGCACATACATGCCTTGCATGGTCATGCTTCTGTCCCTGTTTTACACTCTTCATTGAGCTCAGTGTGCAAGTGCTGACTGGGGTGGCTTCGAAACTTTTCGGGCAGTCCACTAGTGACTAAGGCGAAATCAATGAACAAGGGTAGGACTATGCTTTAGGAGGAAGCACCAACATGAGGGCAACTGTGGCTGATCCTGTAGCCAGGAGAGAGGCGGATGCAACAGAAAGCGAGTGGCGGGCCGCAGGAGGGGCTGGGCTGTGTTGTGGAGAAAAGGGAATGCAAGGCTCTGCCATCCAGGGGGAGGTGAGTGAATGCACATGCTCCCTGGGTGTGCGCCTCGGAGATATCACCCAACTTGGAAATTATACAAGGAGAAGGTGCCTCTCAAAACCTGGAAACTGGAGGCTTCCCAAAGGGCTTGAAATTGGCAGAGACGAAGAGCAACTCAGGCAGAAGTGACCTTATGGAGACTTTTTCCCAAAGGACCTCCTTGGGCATGTAGGGCACAGCCAAGGAGGTTGAGAACTACACAGCAAGGCCTCATGGGCAGCTTTCAGCTGTGGCCCAGGGTCCCACACCAAGCTCTCATTAGTTCAGAGTGACCCACCATTCCTACTGGCCAGCTAGTGAAGATAGTTCCCTCATTTCTCTTCCTTTGCAGCCATTCTCTCCTGGGAGCTTGACCTTCACCCTGCTCATTTCCAGGCAGTCTGACTCCACTGGTCTTCTCTCTCCTTATGCATATCAGTGGCTTAGAATTGCTTCAAAGTGGTAATCTCTGACCTTGGAATTAGCTCTCTCTCTCTTTTTTAAAATAGATTGGAGAGAGATGGGGAGAGGCAGAGGGACAGAGAGACAGAGAAACATGGATGTGAGAGAGAAATCTGTCAGTTGCCTCCTGTATGTACCCCATTGCAACGTAGGCATGTGCCCTGACGGGGAATTGAACCTGCGACCTTCCGGCTCACAGGGCAACACTCCAACCAACTGAGCCACACTGACCAGGGCTCCTCCTCCTTTCTCACAGGACTTGTTTTTTGTTTTCACCTTGAGTTACTCATGCCATTGATTATAAACTTGAGGGCAGAGACTATGCTTTGCATAGTATTTTGTACACATTTTGTCTTCTTTATATACCTTGTGTCTGGTGGCCAAGCATAATTAATATGAACAGATGAATGTGTTTCTGCCAATGAACTTGGAATTTAGAGGCATCTCAGAGGCTACAGATAGGATCTGAGAGTCAAGTAGGTTCCTGTGGAGTACCTGGTTTTTTAGGAGAAAAAACAAATTTGCAGCAGCAGCAGCTAGATAATGAAGTAGATACAGGCCACTGAAGGTAAGATGTGGTCTGTAGATCCCTGTGGTCCCCGCTGATCTTCCCATTTCTAAATCCACAGGTTTTCTGTGCAGCAGCATCACAGGCAGTTGAGTCCCCCTTTTTTCAGACCTCTGTTTAGTGTCCATAACAAAGAACCCCTTTCTCCTAACTCCATCTGTTTCTTTCCTTTCCTCTATGGGTTCATTATCCTCTACTTAATTTTTAAGAGCCTCTTTATTTATTAATCGGGTATGTATTTTGTAGAAAGTTCTTCCGAGATTAGCCCTAGGCTCTCTCCTACTGTCTTGGCTTTAGTTAACACTCCCGACCTCTCTGGCATCAGACTTCTAGAACCAATGGCCACCTTTTGAGGGTCGCAGGTAACTCCAACTCCACATGTCCACATAGAAATGATATTTTTAACCCTCTGTCTCCAACCCTGCCCTGCCCCAGTGTTTCTTGATTGGTATTACCAGTCAGTCAGTTCTTGTTAGATAGTTGGGTGTCAATGTTGATGACTCCCACTTCCCTCCTCAGACTGATTAACTCTTCAAAAAATATTCTGAGTCTCCCTGTTTCTATCTTATCTTACTGTAGGCCGTCACCATTCCTTGCTAGGATATCCTAGTGCCCTCCAATCTGAGATGTCGCATCTGCTCCTGTGCCCCACCTCACTGCCCTCACCTGTCCACCAACTAGGCAGAATGATTTTTCAAAATGGAAATTTTGGTTGTATCACTAACCTGAGAGATTACGATCTTACTGGCTTTTGGATACAGATAAAATCGTTAACCCGGCGAGAGACTTGGCCCTATATCAACTGTCCATCCTGAGCTACTTCCTTAGCACCTTCCAGCGGCCTTTTCTCACCGCCTCCAATTCACTGGTTTCTTCTCCCCCCTGGAGGTTCACTGGTGTCATTTTCTTTTCCTTCTCTCTACTCTTTACCTGGTAAATGGCTCTTCACCTTCACTTGGGAACCTAGATATTTCCTTAGAGAAGCCTTTCTACTCTGCCAACTTTGAATCATGCATCCCACTTATAATCAAATAATTGTGTAATATGAACTCGAGAGCCAAAGCAATGCCCTACTCACTGCGGAAACCCAGCAGCCGGCATAGTGCTTTGCTTACAGTGGCTTTAGCATTGGTGGCCCGCATGACCCAAACCTGTCAAAGGAAGACTCTGGTAATGGCTAAGTTGGAGAAGTCGATGGGACTGAAAATATCCTCCTTGAGATGGGATTACTTGCCTAGTTTGAGTCAAGCAAATATGTAAGGGTCAATAATTTGATCTCCCCTTTCATCTAGTGATATTTAAATGCTCAACATTTATTTGGTGAATTAGGGAGAAACTGATCTATTACTAATGAAACT